ACATTTATGCCCCGAACTTGAACTATGCTCTACTAACCTGAAGGCCTGGCACAATTTGGTGCACTACACTCTTCATCATCATCAGATGTGGACGCTGCTGTGGTGGCTACAGCTGCGATTTCTTCTAACTGAGCTTGCGCGGCAGCTGCAGCCGCTGCTGCTGCAGCTTTTTTACTTATTACATTCCCAGCAGTTGCACGTTTTCTTTTTTTACCACTTAAATTTGCAATGCTACCAGATGGATTTGGTGATTGAGTCGCTGCTGTTGCTGCTGTTGGAGACACCGTCGCTGTTGTAACTGTTGTGTTTGTCGTTCCTGGTGTTGTTATTGTTGACGTACTTGTTATTATCCCTGTCGCTAAAGTTGCACTTGCACTACATGTTGATGCTATCGTTGTACCTAATATATTGATCGTAGATATCGTTGTTGTGTTATTATTATTTAATATTGGTGAAGAATTGTTAATAATTGTTTGTACATTAATATTATTACTACTTGTAATATTATTATAATTATTATTATTATTTTTATTATTATTATTACTATTATTATTATTGTTATTACTATTTGTTGTTGTAATACCAGTTAATGATGCAGATAATATTGTTGAATCAATATCAGGACTATTATTACCACTTGAAATTTGTTGTTCTCTAGATTCACTTGGTACAGAGGAATTTTTTGGCAATTTCTTAATCTTACGACCACGTTTTAATTTTGTAACTGGCTCAGATTTTAAACACGTTGGTTGTAATGTTCCAAGGAATGAACTACCTTTCACTACAAAAAAAGAAGGAAAATAAACCACATTCTTGAACTATTGCATAAGACAAACAATCTGAATCATACCATTAATTGATTTCTTCATTGGTACGTTAGAGGACTCATCAGCTGAACGACGTTTTTTGTTGCCAGTTGTATTATTTATGACTAGAATATCGTTAGAAAGCTGCTGCTTGAATTGACAAATAAAAATAGTAACGAAAATTAAATATTAGTCAGTTGGATAAAAGTCAGTATAAGAAAAATAAATTAATTAAAAATTTAGAATTTTCTTCATATTTTTAAGAATATATTTACCGTTAAATTATACTTATAATGTATATGTGCTAGATCAGACATAGATGGTTTAGCTGCATTTAAAATTTTCCATATGTATAATGTTTCATCAAGTGAAACTTCAAGTAAATCGCCCTCCATCATTAAATCTTCTAATTTTTCTCGAGTTATTTTATCCAAATTAATTAATGGCACATCAGATTTTAATATAGGGCTACTACAAGGCTCAGTTGTTGGCATTGTTGTTGTTGGACTTGACATACTAATACTACTAAAGGGAGATAATACAGAATAAGCGTGCTCAATTTTTCTAAAAATATATGGATATATATATATATATTTATATAAATAAATACCAGATAAATACTTAAAAACGCTATAAACATAGGAAAGCAATGTTGGATTTTTGTCTTTATTAAATTTTTAACTTGTTTTGACAAACAAACCTTTTCTCTTCCAGTTTTTATCCATAGAAGCTTTTAATATCAAATTACTCAATTGATATTAAAAACTTCTATAGATTAAAAACTCAAAGAAAAAAATTAGAAAATTATGGAAAAAAAAATTCAATGATCATATACTTAGAACCTTTAGAAAAGTTTAAGGTACAAATTTCAGCTCAGTTAAAGCATTTTTTTATGGATTTGACGTTGCAGACCAAAAAACCTTGCGTTATATCATTACAAAAAAATAAAGTATTATTGTGTGTGGAATACTTTGAAACATACTAAAATATAAAACATCTAGTTGAAAATTTATTTGTTTAGTTAAAAATTGAACATTACATTCCTTTTCTATTTTTATGTATGTACACATAAAATTTTATATTGTAACTTATATTATCACATATATAATTGAAAACTTACGTTGGCGATGATGAGTTATCAATTTTCGACTGAGAAACAATGGCTGAAATAATGTTTTCACTTATTTTTAGTTGACGAAATTCTTCTTCAGAACTTGATTCATCCATATCATCATCTTCAGAAGTAATTGAGTTTTTTGTAGTAGCAATTGAACCTTTTAACTGATACCTTCTTTTATTCCTTAAATTTTCATTATTGTTACTAGTGTTGTTTGAATTGCCATTATTATTTACATTAGACTTCTTACTACTTATATACTTCTTTTTATTATTACTATTATTTTGAATTTTCATAACATTATTTTCGTCATTTTTATTGTTCGATATAATTTTACAATTTTCATCAACTTTTTGTGATATTAATGATAATGTTGATAACGCTTGTGAAACATTTTCTGACGAAAATGCTTGTCTAGCACGATCTTGCCAATTCATTGCCCTTTCAGTTAAACATTGTAATGCTTCACCTTCCGGTAACCTAATTGGTAAGCGTTGTAATGATACTAATAATTGTAATATTGTTTCTAAACGAGGCCTCCGTGACCGCATACAAGATGGGCATAAGTATTTTACTTCGCGATCTTTCTCCCGATAATTTATCAATTGTGGCGTGAATTGTAAATTATTACTATTATTATTTGGTGGCGGTGTGGAATTTTGTGGTCTAGATCTAACAGTACTCTTTGGTGGTGGTACACATTGTTCATGAAACCAATCTTTACATAATTGACAATTAAACATATTACCATTAAATTTTCGTTTACATATACAATATTTATCATCTAACGGGTTTTTAGACAAATTTATTTTTCTTAGTTCACGCATGTCTACCATTTCTTTTTCTTCAGCTGATTTAAACTGATTGACCATTTGTTGTGGAGTCATATCTTCAGTAAATTGATCTTCCGGCAATTTTTTCCTAAATCTGCTTCCAATCATAACTGGCTCCGATCTTGGTGATAAAACATCCATTAAATGAAATTGAGTTTGCTTTTTTAAAAATGTTTTTGCTGTTTTATCCTTCCAATTTTTAGCTGACTCTAAATGTTCTTCCATGCGCTTTAATTCTTCTAAATGAAATGGTATATTTTTCCCACGATTAACAACATTTTCTAGTGTATGGAAATACGGATAATTTTCATTTGATTGTAAAATTTCTACATTATGTAACCATTCTTTTGCTTTTTTAACAGCATCACGCAGGGCTGGTTCTGATGGGAGCTCACCTTTAAATTAACAAAAAATCAAAACAAAAGTTTATTACAAAGTTGTATCAAAATGTATTTACCTTCAATATCTTGTGCTCTTTCTAATAATAATTCGATTTCCGGCAATTCATGTTGCGTACCGCTTTCAAAACATTTTTTTGCAACTTCTTCCCAATATTCAATCGCTAATACGACTTTTTGTAAATGAACTAGTTCTTTTTCAATAAGAACATCTGGCACTATATTCAGCCCCTCTTTTAGAAAATTATGTATATCATTTAATGAAATTTTTTCATTTGAGTCACGGTATTCTCGAACTTTTTTGTACCATTTCAATTGCTCCAAACGACATTTCAACCTTTCCATTTCATGTAAATCAATGCAAAGAACAGACCCTTCCTCTATTAATTGTTCTAAATCATTTTCATTTATTTTATTTAATTTTTTTGATAAAATATGTTTAGCAGCTTCAATAAAATCTTTTCCTAACAATCTTAATTCTCTTACACTTTGTCCTTCTTGTATAATACAACATAAATTATCAATTTCTTGAACAAATAGATCTAATTCATCCATTGTTAATTTATATTTAGCTGATTCAGATGAATTACGGGTTCTTGTACGCATTTTATTAATATCCAATTGTTGTATAACTGTAACACATTTTTCAGCTTCTAATACAGCAGAATTTAATCTTTCTAATATAACTGATGATGGAAATTTTTTTTCTTCAGCTTCTTGTGCTAAATGTTGTAATTCTTCTAATGTTATTATTGTCGGTGTATTAGGGTCTAAAACATCTCGTACCTTTGATAACCAATTTTCAAATGTTTCAGCTTTAACTTTCAATTTTTTTAACATTAAAGGTAATTCATCTAATGTATAACGATATTGTAGCGTATGCTTTTCAGGTAAACAATTACATAATTCGGTATAATGCCTTAAACAAACTATGGATTTTGTACAGGAACAAGTTACTGCCGATAAAAAACACGTAGTTTTACATGAATCACATTGACGTTCATCATCTGGTATTAGTTCAAACGCTTCACGTTCAGCTTTTGTTACGCCCCACTCAAGTAATGATTTTCTTAATTTTTTTTCAGTATCAACCATTTCAGCCATATCCAAATAACAAGCAGTCGCAATACCTAAATTTAGTTTATCTGGATTCAAAGCCATTTTACAAACTAATTCGTCATGTGAAAAAACGCAAAATCTTCTTAACATTGAATAATGGTTTATGCATTCGCGCCCCATTTTCATCCAATCAGCTGGTGCGAAATTTACGGCTTCAGCAAAATTATAACCTTGATTAAAACCAGCATGATATGCACGTGGAAATGTTATTACAAATTCACCAGCATGTTGATCTGTTCTGTACACTGGTACATTATTTTTCATTAATATATTTGGATTCATTATTGTTACTAATTGATGTAACAAATCAGGTTGCGAATGAAATAGTTCCGGTGCTGCTGATTTCATTGTCTCTTCAAATGCTTCTGCTTTTGAGCCAGGAACACCATACCACGTTTTGGGTTCACCCCAATGTAAATAATTAATTGAATAACTCCAATGATCTTCATTATGCCAACAGAATGTTGCGAAACACATACCCACATACATCCACGGAACTTTCATACCACTGATGTCTGCGTTAATGTGTCCCAATATTGATTCTTCTAGTATAGGCAAATTATTCAAATTCCAACTTGATTCAGCATATTCCTGATCGCCAGGTAATAAATATAATGAAGATTTCGTTGGAAAACCACTTCCATGATCCATTGAATGTAAATCAGCACCATATTCAACAGTAACATCTTCATCAATTGAAGATACAATACGCCAAAACTCACGTTCAACTAAATCAATTGGTACTAAATGAACTGCCATATTGAAATAATCAGCTTTAAATTGGTCAGCCATTTCGCCAAATTGTTGCAATGTATATTCACGTTGTGCTTGTTCAAACCCGAACGCTTCTTGAGGTTTACTTACTTCCTCGACAACACATTTTGGACAACGCCAGTCACCTTTTGGTATATCATTCAATGGTGGCATTAAACAAAAGGTGTGGTAACTATCATCACATCCATCACACAATAACATATTCTCTTCAACATCACCACGATTACAAAAATGGCATATATATTTCGCAAGTGGATCATTCTTTTTCTGTTTTCTTTTCAAATTTACACTATTTATTGATGATTGTAACAGTTGATGGTGCATTGATTTTCTATTTGCTCGACCACATCCACCTGTTGCCATTTTACCACCGAAACCATATGAATGCATGCGTTTATATTCACCATATCCAATTGAATTATATTCATCTTTGATTTCATCCTTAATTGATATTGTTGATGAAGTGCTTACATTAACATTATCATTGTTATTATTGTTAATATTGGTATCATAATTATTAATGTTACTGTTACTATTACGATTTCCGTTATTATTATTCTTATTATTACTGCTGTTACTATTTTCTATGGTATTATTATCACTATTATTATTATTACTATTGTTACTACTTTGTATATTATAATTATTATTATTATTATTATTATTATTATTATTATTACTATTATTATTATTATTGTTATTATTATTATTATTATTACTATTATTATTTATAATTATAATATCATTACTAGCACTATTACCATTTTCACTATCGTTGATATTAAGACTGTTATTAGCACTACCTTCATTATTAATATTACTATTGTTGATATTGTTACTGTTTTTGTTATTATTATTAACATTATTAATAGTGTTATTATCGTTATTAACATTATTAATAGTGTTATTGTCATTATTATTATTATTAATATTATTATTGTTATTATTATTATTATTATTATTATTATTATTATTATTATTATTACTGTTATAATTATTATTATCGTTATTAATATTATTATCATTATTATTATTATCATTATCATTATTATTATTATTATTATTATTATTATTATTATTATTATTATTATTATTATTATTATTATTATTATTATTATTATTATTATTATTATTATTATTAATATTATTATTATTATTATTATTATTATTATTATTATTATTATTATCATTATTATTATTATCATTATTATTATTATTATTATTATTATTATTATTATTATTATTGTTATTATTGTAATTATTGTTATTATTATTATTATTGTTGTCATTATTGTCATTATTATTAGTATTATTATTATTATTACTATTACAACTATTATTGTCATTATTAATATTATTATTATTGTTATTATTATTATCATTATTATTATTATTATTATTATTATTATTACTATTATTATTATTATTATTATTATTATTATTATTATTGCCATTATTATTATTATTATTATTATTATTATTATTATTATTATTATTATTATTATTATTATTATTATTATTATTATTATTATTATTATTTGCATTATCACTAGTGCTATTAGATTTTTGTATATTCAATAACATATCTTTGTTATCATTATTTGCAATATTACAACTCTTAGGTATTATTGAACTACTATTGTTATTATTATCATTATTATTAATATTGATACTCTTACATTTACTGTCACTAGAACTGTTAGAAATTTGTGTATTTATTAACTTATCGTTAATATAATTAGATGAAATGTTACAAATAATTGGTATTGTTGAAATATTATTATTATTATTTTTATTATTATCACTATTATTACTACTGCCTTTATTATTATTATTATTATTATTATTATTATTATTATTATTATTATTATTATTATTATTATTGTTATTATTATTATTATTATTTGATTGCGTACTACCTAAACCACATGTTGCTTGGGTTGCATTTGCGAAACGCTTTGAACGACGTGCTGTTGTTTCATTTGGTGGCGTTATTTGTTGTCTTGAAACAATACCATGTGGTTTATAATCTTGATCATCAATTTCAGTCTCTAGTTTTATATCAATTGCTTTTCCGGATGTAAATGTATCAAACGGATGTAAAATTCTTTCATAGTGTCCTTTTAATATTGCGCCTATGCTTTTACCAGATGGATAACCCATACGTTGCGCAACTTTTGACCACTTACGTTCTTTAGTTGTTTGTTCAATACCACCTTCTTCTTGCACAATACGATGTAAACTATATAAATCAAGTGCTTTTCGTTCCACCATTGGTATTTTCAGTGATGAACCTTGTAATTCCCAAAACTTTGCAATTTGATCTAAAAAATTTAATTTAACGCGAGTTTTTGCTTCCAATTCATTTAAACGTTGTACTCTTGGTGTAAATTTTAATTTATCAACATCAACCGTAAAAGGCGGTGTCCATGATTTGGGTGGTTGAATTTTAGCAATGCCATATTTTTCAGCAAATGGACGAATTTTACCAATATAGGCAAGTGGATTTTTAAACTCATCTTCATTTGGCTTAAATACTGGACATTCAGGTGGTTTTATAAAATGAAATTCTTCATTTTTATTTAATGAAAATGTTGAAGAACTATGCGGATAATTTTGTCTTTGTGAACCATTTGTTGTCGAATTGTTAACATTAATTCCACTATTATTATTTATATTACTATTATTTCTATTATTAATATTATTATTATTATTATTAGGATTTGATATATTTGTTAAGTCCTGGCTACTATTATTTGTATTCTTTAAAGGTGATGTTTGTATTGGTGAAAAATTTGTTTTACCAAAATTTAAGTTTGGTTGGTTATTTATTGTTGAATTTGTTGAAGGCGTCGTTTGAACTGTTATGGATGATGATGAAGTGTTTGTTTTAAATGTTATATTATTTAAATTACTATTAATATTGTTCGAATTATTTGATAAATTTAAACTATTAACATTATCAACATTTTGTTTTTGGTGTTGCAATTTTCTTGGAGATGAAATATTTGATATACATGTTGTAGTTGCCGCTGTTGTTGTTGTAACAACTGGTAAAATAGGTGATGACACTGTTAAGGAAGATAATGATCCTGTCAAAATATTTTTGTTAGATGAGGACTGCAACAAAGACTGTTTGACTATTGATGATGGTGATGATGATGCTTGTAATGAATTTGTTATTGGTGTTGTAATTGCTGCTACTCTGGAAGATGATACTGCAGATATAAGTGTTTCTGTTGTAGCTGGGGCTGTTGTTAATACAGTTATTGATGTTGTTGCAGATGATCTTGATGTTGGTGATGATATTACTAATACTTCAGTATTATTAGTATTACTATTGTTATTTGTGTTTACTGCAACAACAGAATTTTGATTTAAAATCTTGTTTGGCGAAGGTGGCATCATTGATTTGTTTTTTTCATTATAATTATTACATAAGGAATGTTTGATATTAAACCCATTATCATTCAATAATTTAATTTTTTTCGAACGTGTTGTTATTAACTTTTTTGTTTTAGCAGTTTTTCTATTAATCGCTGTTTTTGGTGTTTTAATTACTTTATTGCTTTTACTATTATTAGTATTATTATTTTTATTATTATTACTATTTTTATTATTATTTTTATTATTATTATTCTTATTATTATTATTAATCTTATTATTATTACTATTTTTATTATTATTATTAGTTTTGTTTAATTTTGAAGTCCTTCTTTTTGCAATATTTTTGATTTTATTTGACTTAGTGTTACTTTTTTCAGATATATCATTAATTTTTAATTTATTGCCTTTATTAATTTGTTTTGATCTATTATGTTGTTTTTGTGGCTTTTGATGACTTTTAATTAAATCTGATAGCAATGATGTGTGTGATGAGGATAATATTTGTTGTGGTAATTGTGGTAAGAGTAATGATGATGTGCTTGAAGATGAGGGTAAATTTTTTAATTTAAATAATTTTGTATTTCTTTTATTAATTTTATATTTTTTGATGTCTTCCTGCTTTAAATTCTGCTGTAATTTCAGTGATTTTATTTGTAAATCGTATTGTTGTTGCTGTTGTTTAGTTCGCTGCTGTTGTATTTTTTCTTGTTGTTTTTGTTGCTGTAAACACAATTTATTTTCTTGTTCTTTTTCAGTATTTAATTTATTCTTTTCTTTAATTATTAATAAATTTTTAAATACTACTGCTTCTGATGATGAAGACGAAGATGATATGGATTCAATTTGATGAAGATGATTTTTATTTTCTTGATTTTTTTTTAATAATAATCTGCGACTTTTATATTTTGTAGGTTTTAAATTTTTCTTTATAGTTTTATATTTTTTACTGGGTTGCTGTTGTTTTTGCTGCTGCTGTTGTTGTTTTTGTTGTTTTTGTAATTTTTGTTGCTGTAGTTGTTCTGTAATTACTTTTTGTGTTCTTTCTTTTCTACGTGTCTCACCCTTAACTAATGCTATTACTGCTGCTGCTGCTGCTGCTGCTGCTCGTGATGAACGATTTTTATTCATAAACATAAAAATTATATTATATATTTAGTTGTAACAATGAAATTAAATAAAAACTTTTATTTTCGGTCTTTTTCCTTTTGTTTGTTTTACAAAATTGTCAATGAAAATATGTTAAATATTTTTTTTTTACAAATAATTCAGTTAATATATCTGAAAATAAACAGAACATTATTGTATTAGAAAATTATAGTATTGCTTTTTTTTCAAAAATTGTTTTTTTTACACTATTGTAAAACTAACTGCCAACCGATTAAAATGACAAATATTGCCTACAATATTTTTATTAATAAAAAAAATAGTTTTTTGAATAAAAATATTGTAGGCAATTTTACGAAAGAAAAAAAATCGAGCATTTTGAAATTATCAATATAAAGGTTGAAAATTATTTGCAGTACTACTTTGAAGCAAAATCACCATATCCAATCAAAAATTAAGGACCTAACTGTCTATCTCGCTATCTTAGTCGGCAAGTGAGGAAAAAGTGAGTAACTATCATTCGGTATATGAATAGAAGAATGATTCGGTATTGTGAATCTCGTTTTTTTTTTCTAAAATGTATAAAACAATTGTTTCACTTATTCACTTTGTTTTATTTGTTTCAAAATTTAATCACTTTGAAAGTGAGACGTTTATTTACCTATTTGAGAATTCTAAGATGAAAGTTAACAAAAAGTAAGTAAAAAAGCGAGATACACGATTAGACTGGAAATATAAATAGAAATATGATAAACTGCCTGACTTCAAAATTATAGGAATACGATATTAATACATAATTCAATTCACGAGCTTGATTTTATACAATTGAAGTTATCTAAGAATATCGGCTATTTTTTAACTAAAAAATAATTATACAGGATTACCAAGACTTGATGTTAATATGATAGAATTGGAAGGTTTTCTAGAAAGCGAAGTTTTAGACCTAATCAACTGATGAAAGAGGGCGGCAAAAGAAAGAGAAATTGTTTAATAATATTTTTACAAAATCAATTGAAAACTTTCAATATGAAAGTAAGAAAAATAAAGTAAGAACAATAACAGGACGCTTTCAACACGAGTATTGGGATAGCTCGTCGGGTATGAGGCAGGCAAAGCTCTTTATTGCTTGTCCGTCTCAAAGAAGCTGGCGTGTAGAGGGGGACGCCAGGCTGATGGTTGGTTTATTCACTGAACACTGCAGACTGATAACCCAATTGTACAAAATGAGACAACCTGGGGACCGTTTGTGTTTGATGATGAAAATGAGAAGAACATTTCAATTCACAAAATTGAAATTTAACTCCTAAACTCTTATTTGTATATAAAATGAAGAACAATATGCTTTCAAATTATTTGTGCAGAAACATCTCAGTATCAACTTAGGACAGCAGTAAATTTTCGATTGCCATTGTACAGAAGAAGCTAAAATCAAAATACGTTGTTTTATACGGGCTTACAATTGGTTAATGGTGTACGTTAATAGTGTACCCAACAAACCCTCAAATCTGTTACAAGGATAGAAGCATTCAAGTCGAATTAACAGCAGCATTTACGTACGGAAATGTTTAGTTTGTAATGTAAAGTTTTTTTTTTAATTGCAAAATACTTATACAACCTTCATATAATTTTCATTAAATTGTTTTATACATTTTTTACAAAAAATTTTATAAACTTTTTATTGTTTTTAATTTACTTTACTTTAAATTCAATTATTTAAATGTATATGAACAAATGACATATAAGCTAATGTACAACAAAAAATAAAAAATAAATAAATATAAAAAATTGAAAATAAACAAATTTTGTTATTCATATTAAAAAAAAAAACATTATAATTTTAATACTTACATTTAAATGTTTCGGGTTTTAAAAACGTTTGCAACCGTTTACTTTAAAAAGTAATTCTTTTTTTAAATGAATGTACGAATACGTTTTATACAATTAATAATATGAAGTTATATATATAGATGTGTACAATTTTAAATTTCTTATCTATTATTTCTTATTTATATTTAAATAGATATCAATTTTATATAAATTTTTTAATGCATTCTTTAATCTTGTAACTTTGTTTAAATAAATTTTATATTTCTTATTATAAAGAAATATTTATATTATTATTTTTTTAAAATCAAATCTTACATTTTCGTTTTATTCCCTATTTGTGTTGATAATATTTTCAATAATTAAAAAAAACGTTTATTTCATTTCAAATTTTCATTTTTCTTTGTTCTGATGTTGTTTTGTATTTAATACTTTCTTCAACTTTATGATCAAATAGCAAAGCTGAAAAAGAGAAAAAAAGTTATTAAAAATTAGATTAGGTATTTTTAAGAAAAATTTCTTTATAACATCGCTCATTCCAAGAACTAAAGACGTAAGCGTAATTTTATTACAAAAGGGCATTCCAGTGATTAGAGAAAAAATTGCAAAAACCTAGTGCCTATTAACTAGTAAAGAACTTAGTATCTCAAGTTCGGCTGCACCGATTTTGATGAAATTTTATATGTAAGTTTATTTCGACTATGGCACGAATTGATCAACTTTTAGGGTATATCAGGCGTCGGGAACTGGACTTTTTAGAGGGCCTGTTTTACATTATCGCTCACTTTGAAGAAAATATTCAATAGATTTACTTGAAATTTCATATATATGCTTCATTCGACTGTACGCTGAACGTCCTTTTGAAAGAAATCAGGTGTCAGCAACTGACTTCTTACTACGTGCTAAATATACATTTTTGCGTACATAAAGAGAAATAATCAACTGACTTCATTGAAATTTAATATTTTCATTCTTCGTACTAAAACAATGAACATATAAATTTTTTGGAAAGATCAGGGCTCGAAAACTGATCTGCGGGCCGATTTTACATTTTTACCATATCTACGGAACGAATTGATGGAATTTCTTGAAATTTGATATTTGAGTTCTGGTTGTTACCGAAACTAACTGGCGAGCATTACAGGGAATTCGGGTAGCACAAAGCGAACCTCTACTAAGAGCCAAATTTACATTTTTCTAGGTATGTTAACTATAAGCTTACTAGTGTCCTAAAAATTGGAAAGAAGTATTTTGCAAACAATTTTATAATATTCTGGAATACTTTTACTAATCTAGACAATATACATTGCGATCGGTCTTCTATTATTTCTTTCTATTATTTCTTAATTAAATTTAAGAGTACTATATGACAATACTGCCCTAGAGTATTACTTATATTTTCGCTTATATTTTCATATTTAAAATATGTCGTCAATTCGTGCAATGTTGTATTATACAGATAAACAATAAAAAAAAACAAAAAAAAAAAAATTAAGAAAAAGGACAAGACCACAACGAAAATTTAAATTCCAAGTTTTTGCTAGTGTTTTTTGCTTTTTTTCTTAATTTTTTTAAATATTTTAGAATATAAGCACGCACAAAAAACACAAATAATTGTTTTCTATTTAACTAAGTATTATTATTGTTATTTTTTGTCCTTTCTTGTTTTATTGTGTATTTGTATTTCGTTCTTGTCGCTCCCCTTGTGAATCTTTTTATTTTAAAAAGTATTCCAATATGATTTCCGTTTTAAAGCCCTCTAAATACAAAATTTTGCTTATAATCAATTACAACAATTTCAAACTACAATTTTTAAAATGTTAGAAAAAAAATCACTAACTTTGCATATTTTTTAATTCGCAGTCTTTACAAAACACACACTTTTTTCTTTTTATTTCTTGTTTTACTCTTTTTTTGTTGTTCAAAATTTGTAATCAAATGCAGAAAATTTTTATTCTATTTCATCATATTTTTTACTTTTTTTACTGTTTCTTTTTCTTTTTTGTTATATTGATAGTAGTATATGTGTGGTTCGGAACAACAATGTACGTATGCATGTACATATTTCATTGGCCTTCAAGAGGATCATAAATTGTTAAAAACTTTCTCTAATCCGGAGTTGGTGCCACTTCTCAACGGTTTGAGAGATACAGAGATTTTTAGAAAATTTCAAAAACTTTTAACATAGGTATATAAGTTTTCTTGTTTGTAACTTCCGTTCCAAAAAATATATAGCTTCACTTCCGAAAGCTTTTGAAATGGCTAACAGAGCTTGAAAACGGAAAAAATGTTAAAATAAAATTGTAACAATTATACCGCAATCAAGAATTAAGGATCTCATAGAAAATCGTGTAAGAATAAAGTTGGGTCAAACTAAAGGTTTGTGTTGTAGTTCAGAGTGAAACTAATAAGTACCTTTTGTCAAGAAATTTTTTGGAAGAATGCTAAAAATAAAAGGCGGCCAACACAATAAGAATAATTATAGCATAATCAAACTAATTCAACTTACCGCTCTAATTGAGTGCTTTAAAATTAAGAGAGATTTCTAACAACATAATAAAATAAATCTAATATTTGGAAAGATTGTCCCACTTCACCAGTCCTTTTCAATATAGTAATAGAAAAATATTAAAAATTAGTAAAAAATAAATAAATTAAAAAAAAAGAATTAATTATTGTCTCATTAGCCATATTTGAATATTAATTGAATATTTGAATATTAATTATTTAGCCATATTTTATAATATTAAAAAAAACAGCAAAAATGAGATAAGCTATATTTGGAGTACTCATGCAGATATTAAGGATCTGTATAATACACTTAAGTATTGTACGGCATCGGAGGACAAATAGATTAACTACAATAAGTTTATATTTTGCATTCACTATTCCAAAATATAATCTTCCTTAATGAACATACAGCAGAATTAAGATAAATTGGACATTTTTGTTTTTCCGATATAATTGAACCTTTTTGTTTATTCAATATTATAAAAATTTATTTACTTAAATTTTTTAAATTTTTGAAGATTTCAACGATGCCATTGTACCTATATTTGATGATTTCAGATTACAACGAAAAATGATATTTTTCAGACCGGAAAAGTTCAAATTTATTCTGTACCAGATATGTTTTTATCATATTTTATTTTAAATTTTTATTTATAACACTTTTTAGCGATAATATTTTTTTCTTGTTCTTTCAAACAAATAATCAAAAAAAGCCGCACCCACTCTCTCCGGAACATAACCAATATACATTGAAACTTCAATCTGTTGAATATTTTCTTCAAAATGACCAAAAATGTAAAACAGACCGGCTAAAAAATCCAGCTCCCGAGTTCTGACGCATCCCAAAGGTTGATCAATCCGAAGATATTATTTATATATAATTCATATATATAATTTATATAAAATTTCATCAAAATCGATTCAACCGAACTTGAGATACACGCGTACATACACAGCCCGACAAACCGACAGATCGACAGATCGACAGATCGACAGATCGACAAATCGACAAATCGACAGATCGACAGATCGACAGATCGACAGATCGACAGTACGACAGATCGACAAATCGACAGATCGACAGATCGACAGATCGACAGACCGACAGATTGACAGATCGACAGATCGACAGATCGACAGATCGACAGACCGACAGATTGACAGACCGACAGGTTATAAATTATACACAGATTTGTTAGAGAACTTTTTTATTTTTCGTGTTATGTTTGTTTTTTCATAAGTTTAAGAAGCTTGTTATGCAGCGCAGAGGCGATAACATACGTTTTTGTATAATCTGTTCTTAATATTGTTTTGTTATACATTTTCTGCAACATGAATAAAATCAGCAAAGAAATATATGTAATTCGTGCATATGAAATAAAGTAACACTAAAAAAAATTTTTTTCTAATTTTCTTTTTCTATATTATACTTCCGAAGATGAAGAGTATAAGTGAAAATACATGATGGTTGCGCCATCGAACATGGCTTGTATAATATAATATAGATTTATTATTATTATTATTATTATTATTATTATTATGTTAGTTAATATGTCAAGTTTATGTAGAACCTAATGTGTATGACATCTGTATACTTAGCTTCATTTCAATATGAATTTATTCTTGCAGAGCATTACTACAGGGAGGTTAACTTTGTATTTTTTGTTTCATGTTCATTTCAAATCATTACTTATTGATTGACTGTACAACTATAGGTACAACTATAGACGTTCTCAAAATTTCCCTATCTTAATCAAAAATTATTTACATTTCACAATCACTAACAAAATTTATCTGCGCCTGACCTACAAATAGATAGGTACCAAAAGTTAGTTCTTTTCCATTTTTACTAAATTTAGGGGTAGACATACTGAGGTAGGTTTTAAATGATGATAAAATTGATTTGTAAATTAAGTTTGCAAATTAAAACTTTAAAGAAAATTTATTTAAAAACAAAAGTTTGTAGATGATCTCTCTAATACGATTTAACTTTTCTTCTTTTAACATCAAAGAAAATATTAAAATTCAACACAACTACATATGTACATTAACCTACATATAATATACATGTATACTTACATATGAGAGTTTCTGAGCTTAAGTGTTTATGAGCAAGGAAGAAAATAGGGTTTAACCACGTTACTATGCCTCAAAAAAGATGAATGATACACAATACAAAATATGTAGGTACATACACATATCAAAAATTTTAAATTTGTGAAGGTATAACCCGTCCCTATCAATTAAGAACAACAAAAAGAAATCGATATTTTGAAAATGCAAACAACATGTGACTTAACCAAATTACTTGTAAGTGCTTCGGATCAAACCTTGACATAGCAAAAATATCAAGGTCTGGACCCAGTGATGCCAATTTATCACTGTCCTACCTTGAAAATGTAATTTGCACTATAGTGCAAATAGGCGCTATTTTAGAGAGGATGCGCTTTTTTGCATTCAACATTAATTTTAAGTTTTATTTATTTTTAATTAATTTATCTTTTTTTGGATATAGGAATAGGATACGGGAGTCTTAAAAAATTCACTGGTTGTACACAGCGGTTAAAGACATTGATGTGCAGACCACACTGAATTTTCCGTCAATATCAAATAATCAGAATCTAAAGGACGGCGAAGCAAAAAAATAAAAATTTAAAAGTTTTCTTTTTTTTAGCACTTTTCCAAAAAAATTTTGAAAGAAAGTGCTTATTAGTTTCACTCTGTCCGTCCGTCCGTGTGTCTGTTTACAAAACTTCTACACCCTTGAAGATAGAAAACTGAAATTTTACAAGTACATAGATCTTCACTAGAAACCCTTTTTCGTAGACAAAATTTTCACCTATCTCCCCCTCTCTAAAAGTTAAACCCCCCTAAAACCCTAAAAACGGCATTATTTAACTATTTATTGCAATGAGAGATCATAAACATTTTTCAAATTTCGCAAAAGCAGAAAAATAGAAGCTGGCCTCTTCTATCACGGCATACCGTTTCGAACTTTAAAAAAACAAAATAGTGGTTAAAATTTACCGTTATATAAAATCACCTCTCGAAATTTGTAAAATTTGAATATTTGGCACATTATATGTGCAAAACCACAAGCTTTTTGAAATTTCTATAAACGCAAAAAGCTAACGGTAAATTCCGTGTCATTAAAAAATATAATTATTTTTCTTAACTCATACAATTAACCCTTCAACACGAGCATCATGTGAACCCGTCTTTATATTATTTCTGACTGCATAAATCGTTCATCCTAAATATATGCAATTCTGGATATAGTTTCGTACATGAATGAAAATAATTTTAATAGATAATACAGCAGTATTTTCATTTGTTGAAGGGAAAAGTGCTAGAATAAAAACCATTAGTTTGACCCAACTTTATTTATATGATGATTTTTGCCTATTTTCATTTGCCTATGAAATAATTGACAATTTTTATATTAAAATCAAATTTTGGGTTTTCTCAGCAACATATCAAAAATTTAAATTTCAACTCGAAATTTTAATTATAATATTTAAACTCGAGTGTTTTCCGAATTCTTTTTGAATCGCGTTGGGCAACATATGTATGTACGTACCTGAGAGAATTGAAAGTAAAAAATGGTAATACACTGAATAAAAAAAAATGTTGGTGCTTTATTTTTTAAGTCTAGAATACATGACATTAAATAAAATTAATAAAAATTTTATTAGATTTTAATTTAATTTTGTAATTATTATATTTTAAGTTTTAATTATTATTTTAATTATTATTATGGTGCTCTTGTAGTTTTATAATCATTATAAAAAATGTGTGTTATTGTTGTTCCCTACATAAAAACGAACGTAATACAAATATATGTATATAAAAAGTATGCATTGTGGGAGTCATATCATACATAGCTAGTAAACATAATCAAATGTACATTTTCTTCAATTTTGAAAAAAAAAAACACTAAAATCAACTTAATACTTCGAAAAAAAAAAAATTTGCACCATTTTTTTTTTCTTGTAGTGTAGCATTTATTAAAATCTTAAAAAAATTAACAGAGCCTGTAAGGTTTTCTTTTTAAATCAATTTTTTAATATTTTAATAACACTGAACTTTAAGACTGTAAGCACTAGTAAAGTAAAAAAGGATTGAATTTTAACTTTTTCTAAATAAAAATTTGAAAAAGGTTGATCTTGTGGCCCTTTATAGATCCTATAAAAAGCCGTATAAATTCTTGAGGTGTGAACTGTCACTCTCTCTTGGGGTCCAGACCTGTATTTCTGTCTGCCGTCAATCAAACCATTGGTTTTTTTAGTTAAGTATAGCAACGCTTTACAAACCATTGGTTCTTGAAAAAGTTAAACTAGTTTTTAAAAAAGCAATCTAGGTAGTACCATCTTACCTACTACACATTTAAATTAATCTTATTAACACATATACATATTAAATTATTGCATACATTTGCTAGTTATTAATTTACTACATACAATGCTTGTTGAAAAAAGTACTAAAATATTGGCATTTAATGTTTAGTTTTATGTTCTTTTCCAGAAATTGTATGGAAAAGCTTACAATTTCAGAAATATAAAACAAATATATAAAATATATAAAAATATAAACAAATATATAAATTTCGGAAATATATAAGTAGTTTCGAAAAGCTGTTGATACTACAAACTTTCCCTAATTTATCATAATCTAAAACAAAAATGAAATTCAAAATTTGAAAAAATTGTTCAGCGCAACGGCGGTTGATTCTAGCGACGGCCATTTTGTCATTGAAATGTTTCCGATTATTCCCTGCGTACCACGATAGAAGAAGAAGTTATTCGCATCTCTTTTTTTTGAATAATAAATAGCATTTTTAAAAACTTTAAAAATCTATAACCATTTGGATGAATAACAGGGGGTAGTATGTTGAGGTAAGGTATGAAATGAGGTTATATGTAGCTTACCTATATTTATATATGTAAATGTATATTATAACATTTTATAAACACAATACTGCAAAACAATAATGTGATACATACGCTTTTTTTTTTGACAGTTGTATAAAAACTTTTACTTTTTTGAAATTGCAGTATTGTGCTCATAAACAAAAAATGTCGTTAACAAAAAAAATTTATTTATTTTGGGACAAATAGTGGAAAATTCTATTTCAGGAAAAATAAAAATTAAGATAAACAAAAAAAGAAAACTGAAACAAAAGGAAATTTTGTTATTTTTAGGTACAACAATTAACAGACGAATTCCTAAAAAAACTGAGAAAACTAGTAAAAAAAAAGGACAGCTGATTTAACTGTGCTAGTCATGATAATTTAAATATTTTGTGATAGATAAGCAATGTTTATGAATAAACTTGATTAACAACATTTGTTTATGAATATAAATATAGCGTAGATTTCACTTTACAGGGTGTGCGGGACTTGATGGTGTTTCCGAAGCAGGGTGATAAAATGAATCCAGACGAACAAAAAACACCCAAAAGTGACATTTTTCATTTGGCCCTTGTTCCCGAGTTATGGATCCTCAAACTATAACTCGGAAAATATAACAGGTAAATCCAAATTTGTACACTCATTTTAAAGCTAATAAAATTCTCCTTCTAACTGGATGCCAGCAGTTGTAAAGACTTTCAAATCCAAATTTTATTTAATCGTCATTTACACATAATTCCAGGTTACTAACCTATCGGTTTTTTTACAGGAAGAAGAGCCCTGTACTTTGCCCTTTTTTTTTGATATAACATAATGTGATGAACATTTTAGAAATGACATGTCTATCAGGCAAAAAACTGGACTCAAAACCTTTGAAAATTAACTAAAACAAAGTATATTAACAAAAACAAATATTTTTAATCTCTATTATGCAGTATTATGCGTTATTAGCTTTTATTTTTTCACATGTATTTTTCTAGAATGAAAGACATTTGCATTATCTTTATTTTTCTACAAAATATTTCAAAAGTTTCAGGAATATCGTGTCTATGAGGGAAATTTAAGGGCAAATTAAAAAACAAAACAACAAAAACAAAGTTTTTTCGCAACAAATTAATTTTGAACCAAGTAATTTTCGCCCTTTGATCTTCCGATTATTTTGTTATTATTCGAAAAATGCAATTAATAATCTTCAGGTGCAAAGTTTTATGAACAGACACAAAGATGAGAAATAAATGGATCGAGTAAAATCAATGAAAAAAAAATTTTTTTCTGTTTAAAAAAATGCTACAATTTGATTTCGAAAAAATAGTAGATAGATAAAAATTCAAGGAAAAATTTAAAAAAATCCTTCTTCTATGATTTTTAGATAAAAGAAAAATTAACATAAATTTTGGAATTAAATAAGGTCGAAACCTGTTTCAATAAAAGTTTAAACAACTTTATACAAAAAATTATGGGTAGAGATTAGTTAATTATGTAGGTATTATAGATAGGCCTATTTAGGAATATGTAGAATATCTATATACTATATTCCAGCAATTAATTGAAATGATGGGTATATTTTTGAAAATGTTTGAAAAAATTTCTAATATGTTAGATATGCAGAATTTTTGAATGCTCTATATTTTTGGTTTGTACATACAAAAAGTTTTGAATATAAGATATAATCATTCCTTACCTATTTTACAGGTAATACAGGTAATTTGAATAGGTACAAAGTTTAAAGTATAGTGGCGTTTTTTATATATATAATATGTAAACATATAGGATAATAAGATATAGAAGAACATAGAATAATGTATATATATTATATGCTTACACATTTTACCTTACTTACATACCAACATATTATATTTTGTATGGCATACATAGTGTGCATTTTCTAGAAAATTAGAAAAAATTCAAAATTTTACCCTAACTAATAAAAGGCAATAATATTTTAGAACGTAAAATAAATAAAATTGAATTAAAGATAGGAAAAATTAAAATCAGTTTTGTTAAAAATTCTTACAACAAAATATTTAAGTAACAATTTTTTTTCTAGCGACATCTGGGCAAGTATGTAGGTACTTAATGTATCTAATTATTTTGCAGGATATTAAATTGAATGAAAAAATGTGCTACTCTTCTTAGATACTACCTATACAACCTACTTATTTACCCATCGTCCTTACTTACATATATTTTTATGAATAAATAAGAGAGGAAAAATTTTAATTGATTTTTTTTTTTTTGAAAATAAAGCAATTTGTTTTTTTTTAACTTACAAAAAAAAATTCATTTTATACTTTTTAATATAATTATGGTAATTTTGTAATTTTATAATTTCTTTAAAAGTATGTAGGTACAGCATTCTTTTATAATATTGCATTTTCATGAAAATATTTAAATGTATATATATATATATATATATATATATATATATATATTTACAACAAAACACAATTATTTCTTACAATTAAAATTATATATAATAGCTACATAAGTAAATAATGACTTGAACAAGAAAAGACCACCTCAAAATTTTATAAAAAAAAAAAAAATTACTAACCAACCACCACTACCGCCATCTTCGCTTCTTTCACACAACAACCCTATGCCCACAAACACACAACACAATTTTTTTTTTTTTTACATAAACATATAAATTACACCATTTTATTTTAATTTTCAAATATAGTACATATTTATTTTAAAAATTAATTAAAAATTTAAGGTAGATATTTATGTAGGTAAGGTTTAAGTAAACTTACACTTACCTTACATATATCTTTTTTGTTTTAAAATAAAATCCAAGTAAATAAAATTTTATAAAGCACAAGAGTTGAAAAAATTTCCAATTTTAATATATTTTAAATTAAAGATTTAACAATTCATTTTTTTTTTATTATTGGTGTTTTTTTTACACTTCGTTCGTTTCTACACCACCACGATAGTAGATACACGGTACATTTTTTTCTATTTTCTTTTCTTTTTAAAAAACAAAATATAATAATGGCCGGCTTAAGTGTATTTGTAATATTATTACATGCTCTCTAAAAAAACATTACACAATAAAAAAAATTAACTGTGATAATAAAAAAAAAAGTGTGGTTGAATATTTTTCAAGAGTTGAATTATGTACAAAAAAAATATGTATGTACGAATATAAATATGAATGCATGTATCTTCATATAACTATATGTATGTATATTGCTTTTGTTGCGTACAAAATTTTTCAAAACGTTTTGAAAAAGCAAAAAAAAAAAAAAAATACAATTCTATTTTCTTCACTTTTAAAACTTTCAAAACTTCATTCGGTTTTGCTCTCCTTCAAAAAAAAAAAAATTGAGATTTTTTCAATTAAAACTCAACACATAAAAAAATTCCTTTTTTTAAATTTTTCTTAATTTTCCTGATATGGATCCTTAAAAAAAGAAAAACACAATAACTAAAAAAAAAAAAGCGTCTTCGAATTTTTTTTTGTTTTTTCTTTTCTGTGATTGATCGGTGGTAATTTTTCTCCTTTCTTACACCCCAATTTAATTTTTCAAATTTCTTTTCTAAATTCTGTACAAAAGTGGGAAAAATATGTTCTAAATTAATTTGTAATTTTTTTTTTAATTAACAACTACTTTAGCTCTTTTTTGAATTTTTATAACCCATTAAAGGGGCTAGCTGTATGGTACGGCGAAAACTTACAAAAAATATTTGATCTAAATAAGAAATCTAAAAAAAGTTTTTGAACCACTTTTTTTAAAAAAAGAACGCAATTTACAAATTCAATGAAAAAAATAAAAGCAAAAAACAAAAAAAAAAAAATCATGTTGGATATTTTCCCCTTCTACACTCTTCTCTTCTCTTAAATGCAACATCTAATTTCTTCAGCATAAAATTGAAGGTGGTGGATTGGTTTTGGTGTGCAATTAAAGCAATGGGAAAATAATTACATTTACTCTGATTTCAGGACTTTTTCTTTTTACAATATATATTATTTTTGTACAGGAGCAGAACGGTGCTAACCAAATGCAAAATATTATTATATAAATATATGTATATAATAGTTGTATGGTTGTCGCCGCTTTACAAAGATTTTTGTATAAAAGCGACGGCGGCGACAACCACGATGACGACAGCGACAACAAAATGACGATGACTACACAAAATACAATACAACAACGAAACGAAGAGATGACGACGAAATTGAATTTGAATAAATCCAGAGTATATACATATATAAAATATATACGATATGTATGAATAATTTCTAAATGCAACAAAAAAAAATAACATTCACACAATTATCAAAAAATTTAAGAACAAAAATTTATAATATTGATCGAAAACAATATTATTATTAAATTTTAAATTAAATTTCTTCTTTATTTTCGCCACAAGGTTTGTTATTTCATCTTAAATTTTTTTGTTTTAGAGGATCTACAAAACTCTACTATTACGCTTATACTACACAAAAAGAACCCTTGTTATAAAACTAATGGAAAGAATAAAAGAAAAAAAAAATTAAAATTTAAAAAATATTAAGAAAAAAAAACAAATTTAATTTTTTTTTTCTTTTAAATTTCAATAAAAAAATTATACACTTAAAACACAAACGAACAACACACACACACACTATATTCTTTTTTTATATTCTCACCTTTTTTCTTTTAGCTTTAAAAGAAAATTTTTTTAATTTACAATTCCTTTTTTTTTTTTCTTTTTTTTAATATAAAAATTTAAATTAAATTTCGTTTTTAAAATAATCTTCTCCTTTTTTTGCTTCTTGTATGTAAAATTATTCAATTAAAAACTTTCAATCAATAAAAATAATTTTATTTATTTGTGTGTGATATACGCGAGATATACGATTTTTTTTCTTTTTTTTTTTGTTGCTTTTTTGTTCAACACCAAAAAAAATAAAAAAAAATTTTAATATTTTTCTTAAGAACCACGACCAAATGTAATCAACATAAATTATTACTGAAGGAAAAAACAAAAAAAAAGGAAGAAAAAGAAAAAAAAAAAAAGGAAAAATTAAAATCACAAAAATTCAAAAACGTAAGGGATGTACGGGATGTACAAATGCCTTTTACAGAAATCAAGTTCTATGATTTGAGTTGTACGACGATGTGACTTATTTTTAGTACAGTTTTCTTACAGTTTTTCTCTCTCTAGGAGGTTTTTTTAAAACGTCAAATTTATATATACTGAACTATGACAATTACATATAATTGTCAAAAAAGTAATAAATGCATTATATCAACACAAACAATCAGCTTTTTTCAGACGAACCAATGAACAATCAAGAGAAAAAATAGTTCGACTTTAAATAGGTCAACTCAAAAACGACGCACCAATGAATCCATCTTAACCATTGATAACTCATGCTGTTTAGTTTAAATTTTTACAAAAGCAATTCAAAAATTCCTAAAGTATTTCCATTTTCAAATGTCAAAAACACACGACACCAAATTCAATAAAATGGGTTTGTTAAAAACCATTGGGCGATTATACCAACGAATTAGAAATACTAAAGGAAGGAACATCTTTGTTTCTATCTCGCTTATACTCATTAAAAAATTGTTTCTTGAAAAAAAAAAACATAGTGAAGCCAAAACCTTTAAGTAAGTCTCTTTCCGAGCACTGTCAAACTGAAATCAACATTAAATGCCAAATGTTGTTGTTTTTTTCCTTAGAAAAATACGCGCTGCTATAAAAAAAAAGTAAACAAAGAATTTTTTTTTATTTTTATTAGTGTAGTTTGTAAATAAAAAAGTATAAAATATTTAATAATATGTGTTAAAAAAAGAGTACTATTTGATAAAAACTTATAAATAGACGGCGAAAATAATTTCCATATAAAATGTTATTATTACAATCTCAAATGTCAAAAATTTGACGGTCAGTAGTGTAAACGGTAAATTTATCGTGATATACAAAATTTCCCATATATTTTTGGTAAATTTCCTTTTGTCATTCAAATTTCCACAATATGGTAAAAATCTACCAATAACGTAACATTGGTGGTAACCAATATGACCACTTACAGTCATATTGGTTACATATTATTGAAAGTACAAGTACAAAAAAATATACATAAATGTGTTTTACCAAAAATTAACGCGTTAAAAGAGTAGAGTGGAGTTCGCTAAGTTTTAAATTATCATTATTTTATATGAGTATTTTACAATAATAACAATAAACAAATATATTGAAACAAAACAATATGTTACAGAAGATCTAAAATTTTAAAACAATGGATAGGCGTATCAAGTTTTGATCAGTATAACACAAATTTCATACAATATGTCAAAAGTTATGCGTTTTCGATAAATTTGGAGGTGCTCTTCTTACCATGTTCATTTTAGGTTAAAACTTTAGTTTTTGAAATAAAACTAAAATTTTGAAATGTGAAGTATATTTGACATACAATTAATATAAGAAAAATATAATTTTGCCGAATTTTTTTTTTACAATTTTCAAAATGGTAAACACCATAAATTTTATTATGTTTAGAAGTGCGATCAACTATTTTTTTTTTTAAATTTAGTAAATATTAATTTATTAATTGTAATTATTAAATATTAAATTTCTTTTTAAATAATCATTTTCGCTACAGACAACTAAGCCGCTTCTCTTTAAGCTGTTATTTTTTCGTTTAAGGAAGTGCTCTAATAAATTACAACTCATACTAAATTTTCGTTGTCATTTTTCAAACACAAATCTAATTTAATTTAAAACTCTTGAATAAAATTTCATTTAACAGTCTAGAAGATTATTCACACCATTGAATTGAAATTAAATTATGGTTAGTCATAATATTTTGACATATTCGGGTTTTAAATTTTTATTTCCAATTATATTTTTTATAAAATATTAACGAAATAAATTAAGTTTAATAAGCAGCATACATTTGTAAAGATTATATTATTATTATATTTTAATATGCAACATTGCCAAAAACTTGAAACTTTATTACCTTAACCTTTTGAAATGCTTATTTATTGGCGTAAAAACTCATCATATCCCTGATTACAACAATCACACTTTTTTACATATTAAATTTCGGCCATATTTTTTGAAATATTAATGTTGCCAACAAACATAATTTTTATATTTTCTTCAAAGCAATAATTTAGTCGGATTTACAGTTTTCTAATGTCTAGTAGTTTATCTAATAGCTTTTAATTTCCGATTTTTGAAAATTAAAAGCTTTCTGACATAAATTTTTATTTTGTTTATGGAAAAGTATTGCTTATCTATAAAGGCAACAAAATAAAAATACTGAAATAAAATAAAAATTTACATATTGATACATTTTTTTTAAATTAATTAGTTTGGTTTCACCCTCTATCTCAACTGAATTGTATCTATTTGTGTATGTATATGTAAATAAACATTATGTGTATCAACATTTTTATTATTCCATTCTGTATAAACACTTTTTTAGTTTACGTTAATATTTTTCGAATTTATAACACTTAATTCATTTGAAAATTCGAAAAAGTTTCCTTCAAATATATACAAATATATAAATGGTATAACATAGCATAAATTCTTATATATATATGTAGTTTATTATATAATATAGTATATTATTTTATGTTGCGTTTTTGTACTTAAGTATTTGTAACAAAACTATAAGTAAAAATTAGAGTATGCTACATTCTTAGGTTAGATTTTGTCATCAAATATTATTGATAAACTATTTGGCGAGAATTGGGTGGCGTTCTATTTTTGCGTCAAACTCCAATTTTAGAAGCCCAGCCTGACGTGACGCAGCCTTTATTGTGAATATTTACACAGGCATTTGAATTTGTACGATAAAAATATTTTTAATAAATTTAGGCAACACTGTACCATATCATTCGTGTGTACGTGATTTTCTGTAATAGAAAATGTATATTAAAAACCGATCGTTTAAAAAGGAGAAACAGTACAGACTAACTTGAAATCTAAATTATATAGCTTATTCATTTGCACTTTGGAAAATTTTTACAAAACATAAATGGACAATTTTTTTTAGGATTTGTCAACCAGTGCTTAGATTTAAAATATTTCAATATTCGAAAATATTTAACATTAGATTCCTTTGTGATACTGTATATAATTTTTAACTTATAACATGTTACTTAGTAAAAAATAATAATGTTTACCTAATGAGTGTTTTTTTTTCACCAAAAGTTATTATACAATTTTTTGACAACTTTGTGTAAATTTTAACATTTTGCTTTGGCGTTGTCAAAAAATTGGTCTGCTATTTATTTAAGTTAGTTATGTTGAAGGGAATTATTAAAATTTTATGAAATATTAATCGAATTTTAAAATGCGACACCCGAAATAGAGTTGAAATGAAAAAGAATTGAAGAATTTTTCAAAAGGAAATCTTGAGTTTTCATTATATTATACAATTTTATGAGAATCGATGGTACTTCAAGTTAAAGTAAAGTAGGTGATATTTTTGTTCATGTTCAATAAATTATGGGAAAAATTTTACTGGTCTAATATATATCAAATCAATTTTTTCCTAAATTATCTGAGTTTTATCGTAGTGGAAAAAAGTATAATTAAAAAATATATGCAGGTGTTTCTATAAAAAGAGAAGTAGAAAACAACATGTACGTAATATCGGAACTTGCATTCATAAATATTTATACTTATTTTAAGAATAATTAATAATGTTTCATGAATTTGACAATTAATCATGAATTACGACAAACGAATAGTGTAAACAAGCATTAGTCTTATACACATACCTTTTAGTTTTAAGTTTATGACATAAAATCGCCCTCTTGATTAAATGAAAGAAAGAGAAAATATATTTTGCTTTATTATAAAAAAATATATTTTCTAAAAAAATTATATTAGGGAAATTGGAATATTGCATGGCATCAATATAAATAAGAAAGGGAAAAAAAATTCCAGTTATAGTTGTATGACACACATCGTTGCTTTATAATATACATATATTATACATTATATAAATCCAGGCCATATTTACTTTCAAAAAAAAATGACAGCCGTTAAGTGAAAGTGAGCAACAACATTAGGTATTGCGGGAAATAGTGCTGCCATATTCTAAAAACAAATAATTATTCTATGCTATCTTAATCTAATTCACTTTTCAACATGATCCTTTAACACGCCGGGTCGGGTCGTTAGTGAACTATTTGATGAACCATTTTGTGGTTGAAACTTGATTGAAAATATTAAGAGCCGGATCGTGTATCTCACTACTTTACTCACTTTTTTCTCAAGTGAACTATTATATACTTGTATAATGTAATTTTCAAGTGAAAAATTTAATTCCGTATTTTGTTTTTTTTTTTGTTTTGTAAAATGTATACAAAGTTCATTCACTTTGTTTTTGAAATTGAGATATTCCGTGGACAATTTGAAAAAAAATGCAAAAATTTGGTAAACTATTAACAAAAAAGGGTAAAACATTAGAAAAACGAAGAATTCTAATTTGAAAGTGAGTAAAAAAGCGAAATACACAATTAGGCAGTTAAATTTTTTCAAATTTGTATTGCTATTTATATTATATTATTTTTTTGCACAAAAAAAATTAATTGACATTAACAACAGGAAAAGAGCATTAACATATATAATGTAAATTATTAAACTGACGCATACATTTAGTATACCGCATCGATAATCGTAAATATCATATTTATCATAAATATCGTGTGTACAGTATGACGTGTCGGAAATCATAAATACCGTAATTTCGATACGGTATACATAAATACCGTATCGGAATACCTCGTGACATTTACAATCAGTTTTTTACAATCATATTTTTTTTTTTATAAAATTATGATTGTAAAAAACGTCAAAAACCAAACAAAAAGGTTTGTTTTTATTTCTAGCACGCTTGGATTTGAAAACTTGATAATTTTTTTACAAACCGTCTATTTAGATGTAAAAACAGAACTAAATTGATGAAGAACAACGA